GAATGATATTGTGCACATGCTTTAAGGTGACTAGCTTCCGGAAAGGCAAGGAAAACGACTGGTTTAGTTAGCATATATTCTGGAGGCTAGTCAGCGAGACGCGATCTGAACTAGCAAGGCTGCCTCGTGATCGTTTCTGGCCCCTTGGGAGTATGTTGTGTATGATTGCGGCCACGAGACAAGCAGGAGAACCAAGAAGAAAGAAGTAGTTAGGCACGAGCAGTCGGAATAAAGGGACGTTTTTGGTGTAGGGTTCGGAGCTTGAATACGTGACATTGCTTTCTAGGAACACTACAGGGGGATTTTGGAGTATGGACAGAATGCCCTAGCCACATAAAACATCGCTGAAAAAGGAAAACAAAGTTTGTTGAATCGGGTAGTATGGGCACAGAGAGATGAGTGCTGGAGGAGGTTGGCTTTATGAGACTAGCTAGAGGATGTCATGTTGAGCCCAGCAGTATATTCAGTTGTGAAGAAAAATAACTTTTTTTTATATCCTTGAAGTCGTCTACAAGAAATGCAGTTGCGACTGTGTGTCTCTCTAGTGTTGTACATCACAGCATTTGTCTACTCTATCTGGTGATAACACAGCAGATATACACATAGGTGTATTTATATTGTTATTTCATGAAATACAACTTTATTCAACCATTATTGCATTTTTTTGCTACAAAATAATAACTGAACAAGTTTTTTCAGAATGGGCAACATAGTGATGCCATTATTTTTGCATCATCAACTAAAATAGGGAGTGCTGCTAATATGACTGGCTTCATGATATTTGAAGTGAATGGAAATAATTCTAGCTCTTCACAGGAGACAAGAGCCCCAGAATAATTGTTCATGCCTTCGAATGTAAATTCAACTTGCTTATCCTCCAAGATGTGGAGTTAGCTGCTACAATTGCTCCAAAATGAAAAATTTTGCTGCCCCAAAGTGCTTCAAAATTGAAAACTTTGCTGCTCCTCAGTGCTCCAAAATGAGAATTTTGCTGTTCCAATGTGTTCCAAAATGAAAATTTCGCTGCTCTAAAAATCACAAGACCTCGGTGGCATCACTGCATTCATACGCAGAACTTTAGGGAGCACTAGAATGATTGTGCGCACTGGCTCGTGAGCGGGCTTGTCAGGTGTTATTTTTTTTTATTTCACAGTGATTTGTAATTAACAGACAAACATTAAAAATAAAGATTTAAAGCTAAAACTGTTTAGTCAGATGTTTTCCTAATCGATGAACAACTTTCTTCTTGGAATTTGTGACGCATTATTGTTGCCTAAAATGTTAGTTTAAAAAAGTGACAAAATTAAGCAATTAATCAGAACATAAAAAATGGTCTGACTCACTCCAGGCAACTGTCAGCAACATGCATTTCTTTGCGTCGTCATTGCGTGTGTCGGCATATTTTTAAGCTCTGGCTAAAGATTGCTGGTGCACCCTGTATAACCAGATGCTTACAGTTGCATAACAATGTGAACAGCGACATGATTACAGTATAGACCGCTTATAACATAAGTCGCAGGAGTCGTGAATATTCGCACTATAAACGGCACCGCACAATAGTCAAAACAACCATTTTCAAGGGCCGCACTTGTGCAAAATGTGTGGAGCATGCAGTCTCGCATGTTCGAGAATTGAAGCATGCAATGCGTGGTGACTTCAACCATTTCAATTTCCGAATGTTAAAAAAAAAAATTTTACAACCAAAGGCACGCATTTCCAACGAAATGAAATGGAAAGGGGGTGGGGTGTCTCACCAAAGAAAGCATAATTGCAGAAATTCACCGACTACCTCTGAAACCACCTCGATTATGTGCATTACACAGAAACTATGTATGTCGAGTCACGTCCGGAATTTCACGTGCTGAAAGGCGCTAAGCGTTTGATTTCATGGGGGCGCACCCGATTTCAAGACGAAGCAATGGAATCGCGAACCAGCATCAGAGCGCTACACATGCCACCCTCGTTTTCATTAATGATATATATCCCTTTCCGTCAAGTACAGCCACTGCAGAGTTTCATTGATTTCATACCAAACCGCAACTTAGCAAGCGACCGCTACAGAAACACAACTAACCCCAATTTGGTCTAGTGCCTTTCATTATGTTGTTGTGGGACGTTTGTGCAACACATGAAAATCCGGTGTTGAAAATATCGCACTCAGTCACTTAACCAAGAACAGCGTGCGTGATACGAAGCTCACATCGCTGCCGGAAGATCAAGAATGACGAAAACCCGCCAAGCTTACATAAAACAGGGCTCTGGCAGCAAAGGCAAAAATTCACGTCATACAGCTGGTAGAGGTTTTAAATTTACAAACGAGGTAGCAAACGCGATATCTGTAGCAAGCTTGATAACAACGGCGCTTTTCCCGACAGGAAACTCTTGAGTGAAGTTGATGAGGACGGGATCGCGCATGCCAAGTTGAGTCGCGCGCAGCCAGGGCCACGCTACCGATGCTAAGGCACTGTAGCCACATTTGCACTGGTGGAAAGGCTTATTCGTCTCCTAGGCAACCGCTCTCCTTCCATACTCAACGGGCACGTGCAGCGTGCTGCGGTCTTTTTTTTTTTCTTCCGCACTTCATTGACCATGTCCTTCTCTTTCGAACGGCGCACCCAGCGTGCATTCTTTAAGACGCTTACCCGCTACCTCGCTTGTCACAATGATTTTCCGGCAACTGCATTATAAACGGTCTTTCATCTTGGGGGACTGCACAATAAGCGGCATGCGTGTAGATGAGGATCTATGAGAGGGCGAACGGGAGTCAAAAAAGACTGCATTGCAACCGAGTTTGCATTAAAGCAATTATGTTATAGCTGGTCTACACTGTATTACCAACACCACAAGCGGTAAGCTGATAAGCAGTGCTTACGAGGCTATAAATTAATAAAAACATGCAGACATTCTCTTTGTGTGTTTTACGATTGTTGTCAAGTTTTATTCATCTATACAAGCAACAAATTACACAAAATAACGCCGCGCCTAGTAATTCTCGCAGTGTCACATGCTACTGTGAGCGACATCAGAGCACCAATGTCTACATAGCAGATCAGCGTTAGTGCACAGATAACTACATAGAGCCGTTTCTTGTTCATCATCCTCTCAATCTTGAAGTGCACACCCATGAGATGAATGGCAAGCAGTGTTCAGTTTAAAATTTGACCTCTTTTTGTGATGCGTAGCTCTGTAAATCTTGGTAGATGTAATTGTAAGGACTTAGTTATGCATCACACTTGTCAGTTCGAAAGGGTCAGAACTGGTGAAGGGCACTTTAAAGCTTAGCAAATAGAAATATCCTGTACTTTTTATCTGTGGTACATCCAGAGGATTTTTGCAGTATGTTGGTCCACAATTGATTTGAACAGGCATTCCAAAAGTGACGTTAGATTGTTTAGGACCAAATTTTCGGAGTGAAAACTTCGACTACCATATTACTACTCTTTTTTGATGGCCTACTAAATCACAATTGTAGAGCGCTGTTATCACAGACAACAGACTCAGTGTTTGTACACAATACATGCTGGTCAGCACGTTCTATAAAACAAAAAAAAGAGGAAATAAATTTATTTCGAGAGCGAGCATTCAGTTTTGTAAAGCTTGCACTTGAAGGGATACCGAACTAAAAATACTGTGCTTCAAAATTGCCGAGAATGCTAAGAATTGATGCCAGAATTAATGACTTGTCATCAGGTGTGTTGGCTAACAAATTGTGCGAAGTCTAGCATCACACGCAGTTGGTGCCTTGCAAAAGCTGTGTTGTTTACTCCATTCCATTGTCATATGGCAAGGTTTATGTGGGACAAACGGAGTGCTGTCTCAGCATTCACCTGTGTGAGCCCCATAGCTTTTTAAAAGGCACTCCTTGTTCCCGTTTGTCCACTTACTGTGCCTCTCGAGTTGACCCTAACAACTGGGTCAACTCTCCCCTTTGCTTCATGCGTGTACTCGCATTCACCACTTACTGTGCCTCTCAAGTTGACCATAACAACTGGGTCAACTCTCCCCTTTGCTTCATGCGTGTACTCGCATTTATAGGTGTTTATTCATGTTCGTGTGTCTACACAAACTCAAAGGTACACCCCCACATTCATACTTGTATCTACTGAACATTTTTTGTTCTCAAAAAAATTATTCCAGGAGCTTGTTGAACTATCCCATCCCTGATTGTTGTTATTGCATGTTACAATGCAACAGGGCTACTTCATGGCACATGGCTGCTCTATCCACTTCTTATTAGGACTGTAACTATATGGGCAACTTCACGCACATTTTTGCCGTCTGCATCACTGTGAAGTAACGGATAAAGTCTAAATCAGTAACATCACACCGAATGTCGTATGTTTAATGTGCGAGTAAAAGTGTGCAATGTCAGATATCAATCACAGCTCACACGGAGAAAAAATGCACTGGCGGTCTTCGCATGAAGGGCCCATGGGGTGCATAGGGGCTGCACCACTCTGACTGGAACCGAATACTTTGGTTGGTTGGTAGGCCCAATCATGACAAAGATTAGTGGATGTATTAGGTGAGTTGCACTAGTTCGTGTGTATTAATTAATGGCAGACATAACTGATTAGTGTAAAAAAAATAATGGACTAGGTAAAGACTAATTTTATGCTGAATAGTTATGCCTGTCGTTAAGTATTGAATGGCTCACTTCTTTATAGATGCTATGCTGACATCTTTTGCCTTGAAGCGATAGACAGCGTGATAGTCTCTTTACTCGCTGCAGTGGCTATGTTTACCTGCGTTACTGTTTGTAGAGTTTGTTTTGTTGACTATACATTCCAATTTTTTCCTACCGTTTTTATTACTTTGCCCTTGTGATCAAACTGTGACTCTTTTTTTTTTTCCTGCACTGAACAGGTTTCTAGTTTCTTGCACAGAAGTTTCAGTTTAGTGTTATTTATGACCCTCAGGGCCTGAAGGTCATCTGTTGTATGAAACAGAATAATCTCAGCTAAAAACAGGCAGTTGTAGCTGGTCTTGTTTCACTGCAGGTACTATGTAAACCGGTTCAAGGATGCTTACCGACAGGCCACCATTGACCTAATGCTGGGAAATCCAATAACTGAAGATTTTATGGCAGTCAGCCCAGAGCAGGAGGATGAACCTGTATTGGAAATGCAGGATCAGGAGCACCAAGAGCATGTTAAGCAGTTGATAGAGCACTGCAAGAAGATGCTGATTCCCGAGAGTGAGGTGGTGTTAGGAGGATGGGCTCTCATTGATGCGGATCCCGTGTAAGTCGCCACGCCTTTTCTTGTCTTGCTTCTCTCTTCTGATCAGCGATTGTTCACGGAGCAGTGACTGAATTTGTTGGCTACCTTAAAGCTTTGCTATTATAGCTCCTGTACCATACGTTTGAGTTCTGTTGATTTAATCGAAACAGGTCAGATGAAGTTTAATTACCTAAAGAGTCAAGTTCAAAAGATTGCAATAAAATTATAAGACACTTTTAATGCTTTAGCTAGTGTCTGTTTAATACTAATATTCTAATGAATTGAATGCTCACACATATTTTATGGATTTTAATTTACAACGTACTTAGAAATGACAACAGAGTGCCTAAATGAAAGGGTTAATTTTACGCAGTACGTATTCCCATTGTTACAATCAATCTACCTTCGGGGCACCAAATATAACTCGCGCATAACAAGCGGTGTTCTGAAACATGTGCATCCTTTTGCTCTGATCCCCAGTGTGCACCACTCGGGAGTATTCAACAGGTAGGAGCGCTTTCAACGATGGTACTGCTGGCAGCAGCTATCTTCAGAAGTTCTGAGTGCAGCTCAGACATAGTAAAAGGAAGCAGAGGTTGGAGTAGAGGGGGGGACAAGACGACAGCACAATGCTCACGCTGTGCTCCTGTCTACCCCAGTTATTATATTTCCTTTTACTCTTGACTTGTGCTAGACACTCTGATTGTCATGGGATATCAACTCTTCCAAACCGCTACACTTGTGAACTTCACAAGTTCATTTGCTCTTGCCCGCAGTGTCAGTGCTGTAAATCATCGCCCCAGACCTTGCCAGGTGGCCTGCAACCTCTACCTTGATATTCCGGCCATTTGGGTGCATTGCAATTGACTTGTGTGTCCCACTTCCCTTGACATCAGCTAGTAACTGCTGGGCAATCGTGGCATATGACCACCTCGTGTGATACACCGAAACCATCGCTTTCGCAGGGGCTGCAGTGCACAATGTTGTCTCCTTCCCGCTTCACCGATTCATCCTACATATTGGTCCACACCAGAAATGGCTCAGTGATCGCAACATGTTTTCTTGTCAAAAGTCGTTGCAGCGTGTTGTTTGTTGCACTACTACTGCGTGCCACCCATAAACTAATGGCCATGCTAAATGCTTTAACAGTACGCTCAGGGACATTCCTTTTCATGCGCGTTGCCTCCATCTGCACAAATGGAGATTTCATTCTGCCCTTCTTTCTACCCCAGCCATTATTTCCTTTTACTGTGAGTTGTGCTAAGCACTCAGAATGTCATAAGATATCCACTCGCCCAAACTGCTACTCTTGTGAACTTCGGTGTTTGTTCTTGCCCCAAATGCCAATGCTGTTTTTCTAATATAGTTGCCAATAATCAGTTGTCATTAATATTCTGCCCCTTGTAACTTGAATATTCTGCCCCTTGCAACTCAGAGCCCCACTGGTTTTTTCCTCCTTTTCTTATTGTGTGGTTGCCATTTATTGCATACAATGGACACACTTTTGCTGTACCAGCCAGATGCTTCTTAATCATTGTGCCTCTTTCTACCGCTTGAAGACATGATGAAGAGTGCGACCATCTTGCATGTTGACTTCAGCTAACCAAGAGCGCCAGGACAACACTTGCCCGCACGCCACTTCTGCGCCTACTTTCCTTCCTCGGGCACTTGCGTAACTGTCGATTCCTGCCTGTGCTCCCATCTCTGTCTTGGAGATCATTTTCCAAGTATATGAAAATTCTTACGGATCACCGAACCGTACATCACTTGTCATCTATATCATTGAGCTCGGCACGCCGTCACCAGACCTGCATCATTATGGAAGTAGCATTGTACATGTGCAGGGCCACAAAAAGTACTCATTCGATCCTAATGATGGGCTGTAAGATTGTGGATGGCTTGCTTTTCCATCTGGAGGGTCATCGTATTAATGAGGGTTGCTAGCAGGTCTTCATTTCCAACATTTGGTTCACGAGTGCCGCTCATGCCGCTCATGCTCTGCCCTGATGGTTGGCTCTAGCGCTGCTGAGCAATAAAAGTTTTTACATTTTTTATTTCAACTAAGATATTGTTAACGTGAATTTGTTCCCTGACCTATTCTGCTGTTTGCTTGCTTCTTAACCTTACATCTATCATTCCCTTTTAGGGCTCATTGTGTCAGCCTCAACATAAGTGAACCCTTTTTGTTAGCCGTGAGGTTTTTACTCTAGAAGATTTTTTCTTTGCCTTAATTTACTTGGTTTATCTAATAATGAGGTATGGGACATTGTAGTAAGCGGTTTCTTTCACCATTGAAACATGCAAAACTTCACTCTGCAATGGCTGCTCATTGTTAGGTTCAGTATACAGGGTGTCCCACATAACTTCAGTCAAGATTTTGAAAATGAAAGACACATCAGTGGCAAATTGAACCAAACACGTACTACTCGCACTAGCCCGTAGGTACTCAGGCTATTTTTTATTTCTCCTGATACCAAATAATTAATCATTTTTAATTACCTATTTTTACAATTATGGGCTGGAAACCAAAAATACGAGCACTGAGATGTAGAGCACATTCAGAAACCACCGACAAAATTGTTTCCTGTATAATACATCTAGCGCTGTTATTTTTTCCCCGTTGTAAAGAAAGCCTATAGCAGCACTATAAAAGTGCACTCGCGGTCCTTCACACGGCTTATTTTCACTTTTCGTGGCCTTTGTTTACAACGTGGAAAAAATAACAGGATAAGACGTATCGTACAGGAAACAATTTAGTGGGTTGTTTCTGAAAGTGCTCTACATCTCAGTGTTCATATTTTGGGTTTCCAGCCCATAATTGGATAATAGGTAATAAAGAATTAATTAGTATGGGGAGAAATAAAAGATAGCCTGAGTACCTACAGGCTAGTGCGAGTAGTATGTGTTTGGTTCAATTCGCCTCCTAAGTGCCTTTAATTTTCAAATTCTTAGCTCAAGTTATGTGGGACACCCTGTATATTGTTAAAACTGGTTTTCTTTTTTTTTTTTTTTTCGGAAGTGGATGCCAGCGTAATTTCCGGCCACTTTTTTTTCATTGTCTCGATGAGTTTGAACTTTTGACCATTCAGCACTCTTTCAGCACTGGTGATCCTGGACAAGCTGACATGGACTCCATTCTGGTGCTAACCAAAGATTCATACTATGTGGCTGAGTGAGTATTGTGCTCATTTGTTATTGGTATCTAGTTAGCACATTCACTAATATTATGCAGTAGCCATAACGTTCTTCTGCTGAACACATTTTTGCAGGTTCACTTTTTTATTATGAAAGCTGTTGTTCTAAATGCACTAAAATTACCGACTTTTTAGATATGATGGCTGGTAAGCATTTCACTTGGTTAGTTTGGTAGACCCATTCATAAGCACTAGTATTCCAAGCAGAGAGTAACAGTAACTGGTGAGCAGTCAAAATGAGCAAGAAACATTTACTGTACATCTGAAAACATCTGAAAACATAACTTATTGTGATATAGGTTTTAATGGAAAAATAGAAGAACAAACGACAATAGACATAATGTTAAACGCAGCAAGGTCGACGTTCGGGCTCGTTGAAGATTAATGGCGTGTGTGAGTCGATGCAGGACAAAGCAGAGAAAACAAAAGCCAGTGCAATTGTCTTGTTTGCTTGTCTGCTTAGTACATGTAGGGTACCAAACCCAGTGCAGCCTGGTCAACCTTCCTGTATTTCCTTTGCCTTTTCTCTAATCTTGATTAGATTACTACGTGACTACGCCTCAAATAGAATGTCAAAAAAGATTATCACTGTCACGCAGGTGTACCTCCCTTTCCTATCTTCCGTCCCTCTCTCATCATGCACATACGAGAAACCGGTTCATTGTCACACAAAGAACAAATAGACAAAAGGTGTGTTAAACATGCACGTGGCTAGAAGCATTCATGTGAGGTCATATCTTATTGCGAAAAAAGCGACTGTCATTTTGTTAAGAAATTGTCGGGATAATTCTGCTGGAAACACCAATATAGCCATTATACAGATGTATGGTGCACTACAAAAAAAAATGATTGAGGCAACTTCTTTTGCTTGTGCAAATAGTCTTGTTGCCCACAGCAGTCAGTGTGCTGTGAAGGAAAACATTGAGCTTTCATTTATGTAGTGATGTAAGGTCAAGTAAAAAAAAAAAACAGACTGTGAAATAGATTTTTTTTCTTTTGGGCACTGTGAAAACTAGCAAAAAAAAAAAAACTTTAAAAACCGATAGTGCATATTTTTTGCAGTCTTGTTTAGAGCAAATAAGTCTGAAATATTGGAGGCACAGCTAATACCTCCACTTTGCCAGTAGTGCATATGTGTCAAGGGGCTCTAGCTTGTCGAATATGCCACATGAGTCATATTAGTATTAATGATTCTGGTAATACTAGTATGCCTCATGCCATGCTGGTTACTTTTAAATGATGTGTGCAGTAGAAGCCACTCAGGAGATCGGGAGATACTATCTCTTGTAACCAAGAATTCTAAAAACATTGAGGAGTCAGACTAGATCACGTTATCATACATCAGTACTTTCATAGTCTGTTTGAACATATCTACAGGACATTGCTCGAGGTGGCTTTTAGTAGGTTGTTTTTTAGGGATTGCAAGTTGTATTAGTTTCTTGCCCCACTTCTGGAGGTAAAGGACTTCACTTTGCGATAGAATGGTTAATTGGGCAAGTTGATGTGCTGGCATCTTGAATGAATAAAAGTGTAACAGAAAACGAGGACAAGAAGAAGAATTAATGAGTTTTACATTGGGCAAACTAGTCAGTGCGTAAATACTAGAATCCAGGAGCATGCACAAAATGTTAAAAATGGCACAGAATCCCATTTGGCCATTTATTGTCAGAAAAGTGCATGTGACCCATGTTTTGATAGAACAGAAACCTTGCATTTCCACAGAGTCCACCACACACAGGAAATCATGGAGGTGTTTTACATGTCTTTGGAAGGTCACAAGTGTATCAGTCAGCTGTCGTTGGCATTATCAGATGCAGATAGATTTGAGGCGGTCAACAACTGGATTCTGAAGGGCAGCCATGTTTGTCGGAGGAGCTTGCCGTGCAATTCGAACAGCTCTCTTGCGGGCGGCGCCGGCCGCCGGTCTACGGCACTGCGCCGTTATGGCCAGTTCACGCTGGCGACAAGCCTGTCATAACGCCGCAGTGCCTTAGACCGGCGCCGCCCGCAGGAGAGCTGTTCGAATTGCACGGCAAGCTCATCTCACAAACATGGCTGCCCTTCCGAATGCAGTTGTCGACCGCCTCAAATCTATCAAGCGGCCGCCGTGCGCTCTGTAGCTCGTAAGGTCCCAATTGATGCTTCCATTTGCCTTAGACTCGTGCCCTTCAGCTTCGACAACATAACTACACGTTTGTTTGTTGTTGCTAACGCTAGATAGCTGGTGCCACTTGTCCAACCGCCTACTTTGGGAACGTCGTTCTGAATTGCTGTGCACTTTTTTAAATACTGGACAGGTGAAAATGTTCTATTCACTGCTGGAACGTAGTCTGGGAACAACACGTACGACATATCGTGAAAACCGCAGAGCAAGAAGCAAGCTGCTCGAAGTGTTCCGCGGCAGACGCAGGCAATGCGGAGAGGCGAAAGCAAACGCAGCTCAGCCATGTCACTCCTCCGTCGCTGATTGGCTGAACCAGTTTCCGGCAAACGGCACAAAAATGGGTCTCGGACTCATTTTTCTAACGACGAAGAACAGCAGACGTGCATGAAGCAAACTGCCACGCACGGCTGCCTGAGAACGTCAAACAGCAAGCCATGCTTGCCGCTAGCGTTAACCGGCCCTTACGGCAGGCTTGCCACTGGCGTGAAGGGTTGGTTCACGCTAGCGGTTAGCATGCCTCCCCGTTTTGACGTTCTGAGACAGTTTTGTGCGGTTGTTTGCTTCGCGCACGCCTGTCGTCCTTCGCCATTAAAAAAATAGATCCGAGACCCATTTTTGTGCCGCTTGCCGCTTGCCGGAGAGTGGTTTAGCCAATCAGCGACAAAAGAGTGACAGGGCTGAACCACGTCATCTGCTTTTGCCTCTGCGCATTGTCTGCGTCTGCCGTGGAACACTTCGAGCTGCTTGCTTCTTGCTCCGCGGTTTTCACGATATGTCGTACGTGTTGTTCCCAGACTACGTTCTAGCAGTGGATAGAGCATTTTCGCCTGTCCAGTATTTAAAAAAATGCACAGCAATTCAAAATTACATCCCCAAAGCAGGCGTTTGGACAAGTAGTGCCAGCTATCCAGCATTGGCAACAACAAAGAAATGTGTAATGTATGCCCTTCAAGATTTGGAAAGGCTTGCTTAGGCCTAGAACATCAATTATTTGAGTATGACAAAAACGATACCGAATGGATTCGAGTACTGTGTTGTCGAAGCTGAAGGACATGAATTTAAAGCGAATGGAAGCATCAGTTCGGAGCTTACGAGCTACAGAGCGCATGGCAGCTGCTTGATAAATTCGAGGCAGTTGACAACTGCATTCGGAAGGGCAGCCATGTTTGTCAGAGGAGCTTGCCATGCAATTCAAACAGCTCTCATGCGGGCGGCGCATGAGAGCATACGTCAGGCTTGCCGCAAGCGTAAACCGTGTCCTTCTTGTCTCTTCATCGTCGTACTGTTCTCGCGCTATAACTATTGTCAGGCCCTTACAGAGCCACCGTGACCACCAACATTGTGATAAAGAGGAATGCAATATGCTGCCCTGCGGATCTGTACACAACTGAACAAAAAATTACGTTATGTTATTCCCGTCATGAGGCACTGCATGAAGGGCTCTCTTCCCCATGACCGCATTGCACAGGTGAAAGCTAGGTGATGGGTGGGAGCAGGAGAGGGCCAGAGGGGAGAGTAGTGAAGAGCAGGATCGGGCGCATGTGGCTGGCATTGATTAAACAGAGCAGGATGATATGTGGGGTTTAACGTCCCAAAACCACCATATGATTTTGAAAGACGCCGTAGTGGAGGGCTCCGGAAATTTCGACCACCTGTGTTCTTAAACCTGCATCCAAATTTGAGCATGCACATGGGCCTACAGCATTTCTGCCTCTACCGAAAATGCAGTCGTGGCAGCCGGGATTCAATCCCACAACCTGCGGGTCGGCAGCTGAGTACCTTACCCACTGGAGCACCACGGCGGGGGATGAAATAGAGAGAGGCGCTTGCCATTATGATCAACAGCTGTGCAATGAAGCCACTCGTCGTGCATGCAGGAGAAAAATACGGTGCAATGTTCTGGTGTGGGCAGCCTGCTGCAGACTTATTCATGCGTGCTGAGCAAGTATTGAACTGTTGCAGTGAGGCGCTATATTGTTACAGGTAGCGAAAATGCTTGGGGCCCTTGTGTTTAGATTTAGATGCACATTAATGAACCCCAGGTGGTTCAAATTTCAGGAGCCCTCTACTACCGTGTCTCTCATAATGATGTGGTGGTTTTGGCATGTTAAACTCAACAATTAATTAAATAAGGTGAGAATGGTTGTAAAGGTAACTCATTCATAATAACGCCGCTGCACGGTTTTTACACCAGACATACGATGCCCAATGTGCTCAGTGCTCTCCGTACTCAGTGCTCACCGTACTATACAGCCTGCATACTTTGAAGTACAGTAAGCTTCTAGCACATGCGGATGTCTTGTAAAGGCATTGCAATTATAAGTGCTCTAATATGGACAGCGCAAAGTTACAGCAAAAAGAAAAAAAAAGACCATTTGAGAATATATAACGCCCGAGCATTGACTTAGCATTTCGTACACCTTGGCCTGACATTTTCAAATGAGCGCGACATAATATAAAAGCGCAAAACGATTTTTTTCTCGCCACATGCAAGCTTCACCAACTGCGGGGCAGCCTTTTCGACCATACGAAGGAGCGCCGCGGTGTGGATAAAAGAGCGGGTCACGGCCACGTCTAGAAACACGCTCTCTCCGCGCGATTAGGACGGTCGGAGAAAAACCCGTCGCGCGCCCGCCATCTCGGAGTGCTTTAACGCGAGTTTCATGTATTTGCTTCATTCGTCTTTTGTATAAAGTGTGTTTGTCTTGCCCCACCCGTCTCCCGTCTCTCTCGAATTGATCCTCCACAAGCGCTCCCGAGATAAATTTGTGACACATGGTCTGTAACCTTGTCGGAGTGCACAAGTTTCATATC